GATTTTCGCAAAAATGTTGTCTGTTTGATGTCAGGAAATCCTGAAATTACAAAAAATTTCAAGCGATGAAAATTATTAGGTGATTCAAAGTAGTATCGATATTCAATTTGAAATGCAGTGAGTTTCATCTGAATTGTGATTAGGTTGATTGACAATGCATAAATCTCTGTTTGCAAAAATGAAACTGACAGTATTGAGTTCTGTATATCAAACTTGTTAGTTTTTGCATGTCTTCATCATATGAGGTTATTACGAGGATACTGCAAAGTATGCATGAAGGCAGTACAGCAGGAAAATCGACCAACGCGCAGCGCAGTCGATGCAATGATTTTTGCAAACTTCTTTGTGTGGAGTCCTGTCAAACCCTGTTGGCAGCCATGTTTGTTTTCTATTATTAGAAGAAGCTTACGCGCATAATCATTACGTATTTGGAATTTCCATTTCCTAATATGGTAGGATAAAAATACCCAGTGCAATACCGCAAAATTATGGCACGTTGTAACTTACGGCGTCATGGTGACAGATGTATAATATTATCTTTTATTCTCTGCATGCAGTTAACATTCTTTATATTCCAGTTACAGAAGATTACAATCATGAGTACTTGAATAATTTTGACCTTTCAACTTTAATTAAAAAAAAAATTGTAACTTGTATTTTTAGCTCCGCTGTCTACTTTGTCGAGTGATGCTTATCATATGAGTGATTGTCTGTCGTCGGTGTCCGTTGTCGTCCGTCGTCGGTGTCAATGTTTTACATTTTTGACTTTTTCTTGAAAACTACAAGCCTGAATGCTTTGATACTTGGTGTATATGTACCTTGGGTAGACCTCTCTTACATTTGTTCATTTCATGATGATATTTTCAATTCTCTAATTTTGGTGAATATTTTTGTCATTTTTGGTAAAAAGGTGATATTTTCGACTTCTTGTTAAAAACTGCAAGGCCAATTGCTTTGATATTACATATATAGGTACTACATGTGGATCTCTTTCAGATTTGTTAATTTCATGTTGATATCTTCAATTATCTAATTTTGATGATTATTTTTGTAATTTTTAGTGAAAAGTGATATTTTTGAATTCTTGTTGAAAACAGCAAGTCCCATTGCTTTTGATACTAGACATATTGTTCATTTTCTAATGATGTCTTCTGTTCTCTAACTGAAATGTGCATTGCTAACAGCGGAGCTATCTCAGCCGACAGGCTGCTTGTATCTAATCAAATCCAAATACCCATTACTGGTACTTATTGTGATTACATGTACCTGAAATTTGTGTATAATCAAATATTTTTGACATGACCCCATATATTGGGCAATGCACCCCATCCCCTCCCCAGTGCAATAGATTCAATTTGATCCAAGTCTCTATTTTCAGGCTAAAATTAACAGTTTTTTCCCCGTTTTTATTTTGTGTTTTACTCGTGGTTCAGATTTAACTATCTCACATGATGTTTGAATACATGTTAATAAACTAAACTGACCATCCACTCATGCTATGAGTTTATTGCATAGGTTTAGGTGTCTTTTAATACATGTAGGTTCTAATTTTTCTCCAGTAGTGCACCACAGTGTTTGCCTGGGGTACAAATCCACAGGTGGTTGCATGTGGTTAATTTAGGACACACATGAAAACCTCTACCACTACACATGGTCCAAAACATAAAATCTGCATACAATGACTTCTCAGGTGAGAGGATACCCCTTTTTCATGGCCAAAATTTATTAAACAGTTTTAGCGCATAGTAATAACATTGGGCTTAGTCATTGAAGGCTACCAAGGCAAACTTGTTGAACATTGGGGTTAATGCTGTTGGGAAATTCATGCCTTGTAGTGTGTTTAACCATTAAATATTCACTGTTAATTGCCTAGCCTCTTTTACTCTGATTGCCTGGTCTCCAAGGACTATTTAGTCTCTCAGTAAAATGTTCAACACTAAAAATTTGATTTGTATACTTCTGTAAAATACTTTTTTTCACTTGGAATTTATTTTCGCTATTTTCACTGAAGGGGTGATTCAGTGACAATAAAATACAGCGAATATACCTTTTTTCCTATACTTTACATTCAACTTGTCATAAATCAGTGAAAATAAATTCCATACAAAACACCTTAAAAGTCTTTTCAGCGAAAATT